TGGCTGGAACGGTGTGAGGGATGCTGAATTCTGCTTGTGCACAGCTTAGAGCCCTTGGCTGAATCTATGTCATGGGATTGTGCAAGATTCCCCCTGGCAGCCCTGGGATGGGGCTTCTCAGGCTGGTGCCCAGCTCGCTAGTGGGTTAAAAAACATAATGTAGGAAAAAAAAAACATTGCATTAGCACAAAAGTGGTCCTGGCTGAAGACCTCCATCCAGGCAAGCTGGATGCTGGCTGATTCCTACTGAGCTGTGGTGGGACAGGAGAGTCACCACTGGTGACGTGCAGTGGAGCCTTGTTATCTGCTTGCTGGCAGCAGGATATTTTGAGAGAGGCTAGAAAACAAAATGACAGTGGTTGGTTTGGGGTTTTTCAACCAGGTCCAGATGATGGGATCCTGTGGCTGTAAGGGCACAGGAGGAGAAAAGGCAGCTGGCACTCCTGGGAGGGACGCTTGCCAGCGAGCATGTGAGAGCACATGGGGCAAACACAACTGATTTCCCCTTCAATTCCTTCAGTTGGACTGTGGCTTGCAAATTCCTGTTAATTCTTGAATCCAGTTGCCCATCTGGCAGATGGAGAAAAGGGACACGGAGTCCTTGTCCATCAGACTGGGGAGCACTGGGCTCACCATGGCTGTGCAGGTGCAGGGAGGAGGGATGTGCCAGTGCAGCTGTGGCTAGGGGATAGGATGGGTGGGCTGTGCTTGTTGGTGAAAGTGACTTTTGGTGGGGGACTGTTGGTTGTAGAAGGTGGGGGGTGTGTGCGTGTGTAGGGTCCTTCCTGAGGCACTACAGAGGCCAAAGGATGGGAGAAGTGGATGTGCAGCCTGTGCTGGTGGCAGGAAGTGGCTCCTCGGTACCACAGGATCCCTGGGGATTGGCACCGACCGGAGGAAGGATAAGGAGGTGTAACAGCAGCACAATGCTTCCTCCAGGCTACAGCTGGAAATGTGCCAGGTCTGATTCCTCTTGAAGACCATGAGAAGGGCTGTGGTGTCCCAGGATCCCTCCAAGCCTGGAGCAGAACGTCCCCTGCGAGTTTTGCATCATCTTGATACCTGACAGGAGATTATTCGCTAAAATCCTGTTCCCTGACTACCTCCCTTGCCAGCTTCTCAGCCCAACAAGGGGGCAGAAGGAATACTGCTGAGGTGGGAGCAAGGAGGAGCTGCTGGCACGTCACCATTGGCACGAGTTGCTTTTTCACCTCTAACATGACAGGCTGTGGTGCAACACAGGGAGGGCTGTGAGCTGGCCAGGCCACCAGCTCTGCTAATAAATACATGGCTCATCTGAACTGTACAAGGTGCGGGGCAGTGCTTCTTGCCTGAGAGAGACGCCCACCCCGAGCTGCATGGAGGAGAAGGCAGACCTGGCTCAGATCTCGGTGGCAATGATATCCTCATAGGGGACATCTGTGCCAGGTATGTCCAGCTCAATAGGTTCCCTGCCATCTTCCCCTGTGGCAAGCTGCTGCAGCATCTTCTCCATATTCTGATTCCTCTTGTACATGTGCAGGTAGCTCTGCTGCAGCTGCTTCTGGTAGTGAATCACTTTCTCCTTCTCCTCCTTCCATGTCTGCCGCTCATGCTGGAAGCTGGAAGTCATCTGCTCATTGTTGTCCTGCTCAGCCTTCAGCTCTGCTCTCAGTCTCTCCACCTCTCCCTGCAGGGCTTGAGCATTGTCCATCATGGGGCAGGGCCTGGCCACCTCCCGGGCTTCACTCAGCTGCTCCTTGAGGATGGCTAGCTGCGTCCGCAGGTCCACGATCTCCTGCTCCAGCAAGTTCACCTTCTCCCTCAGCAGCTCAGACTCGTTCTTCTTGCGCTGGAGCTCGTTCTCACACACCTCCAGCTCCATGGCCTTGGTGTGCAGGGAGCTCTCCAGGTCCTGGGTCTTCATTTCCAGCACTTCCATCTTCAACCTTATCTCCTTCAGCTGAGCCTTTAGGCTGAGGATCTCAGTGGTCTTGCTGTTGAGCTCTGTCTGGGATTCCTTCAGCTGCTGCTTCAGGAGAGAGATCTCCCCTGACTTCTGGCACACCTAATGGGAGGAATGCAGCACCAAGTTAGGGCTGCATGTCAGAGAAAGCCCACAGCACCCACGGTACCCCATGCAACCCATGCTGGGCACAGCTGGCACAGCATGTGGAGACCCTGGCCGTGAAATTCCACCCAGGGAGATGCCCCAGCACTGGGAGCAATGCCCTGGGCTCTTTGGGAGCTGGAGGGGACCCCATGCTCTCCATGCATCAACACCCCAGCTGACACACAAGGCTGCTGGTGAAGATTTAAGGAGCTGACACCCTCAGTTGAGGTGTGGAGATGGAGGGTGTTGAGGAAATGCTCAAGTCTCCATATCCTGTCCAACATGTTTGCTGAAACCACTGCTCACATGGTCAGTTAAACTGGCTGAGCTCGTTTCACAAGCAGACACTCAACGGCACCCCTCAAAACTGCAGCTGGGAGGAAAGCACATAAATCCCCCTGGAGCCTAAAGCATTGCTGGTACAGGTCCTCCTGGGGACAGCTTTTGGGGGCTTGGTGGGACACTGCAGCTCCAATTTAGGGAGGATCTGAGAACAGCCTGGAAAGGTGGCTTGAAATGAAAATAAACTAGAAATATTGAAAGTGATAAGAGAAATCCTTGCATGTGAGGGGGTGAAGCTGAGCACCATGCTTTTTGAAGCATTCTAGGCAACAGTTATAGTAAACTATAGTGAAAACAGCTGTAGTGAAATGACATTGGTGTGTGTTGTTCAGGCTCACAGGCTCACATCTGAATTTTCAGCGGTTTAATGGTCTTTGTTCAGTGAGCCAAATCAGTGGGAAAAATAAGCTTAAGCAGAGAGTGGAAGGCTTTACTGCTCTCTAATAAATGGCCCTGCAAGTCCAAGTAGTTCCTATTTACAGGTGGGAAGGCAGCTTTACTAATCCTTTGGGGCAGATAGCCAAAGTTGTTTTAGTGACTGGGGTTTTTTATGCAGCAGTTGTTTCCTTATAGGACGTGAAGTGCTGAGGAGTTCAGAGGGGCACTGAGTCACTCAATCACTGTTTACAGAGCCTCCACGTGACAGGCGAGGGCTTTCCTTGGATTTAATATCTCCTACAGCCTGGCCTTAGTGAGTGCACCATCTGCTCCTCTCAGGCCCTCTGTGGTCTGAGCTGGGTGCAGGTATGGACACGGAGAAGAGCTGTGTGGTGTATTACTGGTGCTGGAGCTATCTCCTTCCAGGCACATGCTTTGCTTTGGGCATTGGAAACCCAAGATGCCACTCGGTGCCACTCACCTCCCACTGGGTCTCTTCCAGTGCCGGGGCAAAGCTGGTCTTCTCCTTCTCATAGGATCTCAGCTTGGTCTCCAGCAGGTTTTGCTCTTTCATGAGTTTCTCCAGCTCCTCCCGGAGCTGCTGCTTTTCCTGCTGCAGCTGAAACACCTGGAGATGAAAGACCTGCTGTGTCTGCTGGGTTTTCTGCAAGGTTTGCTTGAGCTTGCTATTGCATTTCTGCTTGAGGCCCTCCATCTCTTCCTTGCAGTGCCGCTGCTTCTCTTCATAAGCCTGGCAGGAGCTGAATTCCTTCTCCTCAAAGCTTGACTGAAGCTCCTGCAGCTCCTCTTCCCTCTCTAGAAGCTTCTGCTCCAGCTCCTGGATGGTGGACTCATCCATAGAGATGGGCGAACGGATACAAGTGGTCTTCTTGGCAGCGTGGTTGGGGGGGGCTTTCCCAGGGTTAAGGATCTTGTTGCCTCCATCTGAGAAGGACATGGCCTTGAGGCTCATCATGTTGCTGTCCTGGATGATGGCACACTGCAAGATGTTGTGGGCTGAGCCCCCGAAGCGGCTGATGGGTCCCATTGGTGTGACGAGGGGATCAAGCTGGTAGCTGCTGCTGGTGCTGTGGGTGGGGAGGCTGGACATGGAATTCCTCCCGGAGTCAGACAGACCCCCTGAGCACAGCACTGGCTTCAGCTCCTGCTCCTTGGCTTTGTCAGGGGGCTGCAGCTGCTGGGAGAGGTGACCCCCATTCTCTGTGGATGACTGGAGGATGGCGCCGGACCGGGGCAGCACCGGCTTGAAGGCAGTCGGTCTTGCAGTTGGCTTCTCTGCACCCTGGGGAGAAGAGAAAAGCAGAGACATCAGCATGGACCAACACCACATCAACACCACCACCACCTCCCTATCCCTCTGTCCCCAAGGACAAGACCCCCATGGCTGGGATGGCTCAGGTCTCCATCAGGGACCAAAAGCTCAAGAGGATGCTGATGGCTAAAATAGCCTTTTGGGAAGCAAATGGCACATTTGGAAATTAAAGGATACAGATCATATTGTTGATCCGAATTCCTGAAAGAAGAAGGTGGCAGAGTGCCTCCAGCACCTCCCTGCTGCCCCTCTCATCCCGCTTCTTCAGCACAAACTTTCTCTGAGCCTTCTCCTGGACCAGAACAGCCCTGCAGTGGGGCCTGCACCCACTTGGAGGGCAGATGTGGTCCAGTGGGGTACCCCCTGATTCTGGGATGCCATCTCCCCTACTAACCACTTCCAGCTGACTAGGAAAGGGCATCAGCTTCTGCGGTGTGGGTGTCCCAAAGTCCATAGCACTGGTCCCGGCTTGGCTGCCCAGCTCCACGCCAGCAAGCGAGGTATAGTCTGCTCGGTGGGAGCCATGAGATTTCTGGCTGACCTTGATGTAAAAGAAGTCCTCATTCTTGCTGCTTTTGGAGCTGGATTTGTGGCTGGAATCTTGGGAGAAGCCAAAGCGGAGCAGCCCGTCTGAGTACCTGTTGAGCTTCTTCAAGTGAGATGACTTGCGGAGCTTGTACTGGGAGGCTCGGCAGTGCTTGCTGTGGAAGCTGTGGCCAGAGATGAGGCTACTGACACTGCCCATGCTGCTCCCAGGCAGGGGGCATGCGGCAGGGGGAGCAAAGCCCAGAAGAACCGTGGCACGAGGGCTCCGGGCAGTGAGTACAGACAGCAGCTGCTGCAATCATAGCAAAGACCTCACTGTGCTAGGAAGCTGCAAGCCTGAGGAGGCAAAGAGAGGAGCAGGGTGAGGAAAATAGGCCTGGGAGGTGGGCATGATGCTGTGCCTGTGAGCTGGGCATCAGTGACTTCTGATGGTGGTACCCCACTACCAGCCCAGGGCAGCTATTCCCCATCCCTCTGCAGAAGCCCTGTGTAAAGGAGGATGGCAGACAGAGAAGAACAGGGCTTTCTTTTGTGCCTGTGGATGTCTGCAGGAGCCTCCCACAGTCTGTGTCCCCCAGGCTGGCTGGCACCTGCCATTGCACAGTTCCCAGTTGGATGGGTACATCCTGCCTGGTGCCCGAGCTCATCAGGAGCTCCTGGGTACAGTGCACCCGGATGAGGCCAGGAGGGTTGGGAGACACAGGAGCCCCTGAAAATGAGAGGAGGAAAAGGGATTTGTAGTGATTTTTAGGTGCCTGATAGGCACTCATTTCTATGAGCACACATGCTTCCTGCTTATTCCATGCCAGATGTATCCCATCTCCTGACAGCCATGCTCGGGACTGTAAGCTGCAGTCACAGCCTCTCCTGCATCAGCCTGTGGCTCCCTAATTTCTCTCCAATTTTCAGTGCTCCTCTTAATCTACCTGAAAAGGGCTGCTGTGAGGCTTAATTACACTTAATGTCTGTGCAGCACTTAAGATGAGAGGCGTTATGTGTGCGCTGAGTATTGTGAACACAGTTCAGAGGTATGCAGAGCTATGCATTAATTCCCTTTGCTATGGCAAAAAAAAACATAAAGCCCCAGCTCCTAGTGGCCTTTGGATGCTTGGCTCCCTGTGTCAGAGCTATAATGGAGATGCACCTTCCATCTAGATAATTAAAGGATCAGGAGACCAGGAAAATGCTGCTTGTAGGCAGAAGTTAGAGCATAATCAAAATGAGCTAAATCCTGTTTGCACAGGATGATGACAGAGGAAATGTTTCTGCATGGAAAAGAGCTCAAAGCTCCTGCTTTCAGTGGTGACAGTAATGCAAGGTCCAGCTCTTCTCCAGAGCTGCCCATGGTGGGTTCCCATCAGCCAAACAGGCATCCAGGGGGTAAAATGTCCCCTAGCAACTGGGAGAGGGTTGAGTGGTAGAAGAGGTGCAGGCACAATGTGCCAGGGCATCCTCACTGCCTCATCCTCATGGTCTAGAGAGTTGCTCCTATGCTTTTCCCATTCTTCATGTCCTGCCTTATGCTCTGGTGCAAGCTCCTCTGCATCCCGAACAGGGTAACACAAACTGTGCTTATCCCTCAGCTTTATTTTTTTCCTTTTTGTCTGTGTTCTGAGGATCCAGGTTGATTAAGTGTCAAAGGAAAGTCCCAGAAAGACAGAATATCCTCTTTAATCCCTAACTCCATTTTGGGGGGATTAAGAGAAGTAAGTAAGAACTGAGGTGTGAACTGCTGCCTGGATGCTGATATGCTAAAAATTATCAATGACTTTGGCTTCATTCATTTTTACTGTGTAAGAGGCATAATGGAGGAATAATGGAAGGGGAAGGAATTGCTGCAGGGAACAGGATAATTGGCACAGGAGGTGGCTCTGCCAGCACATGTTCCAACACCATGCTGGTGTGTGTGAGCCTGCACAAGAGGAAAGGCAGTTGCACAGCAGGAAAGCTGCCAGCTATAGTGACAGCATCCCAGAGACAGCATTCAACATGTGCAAGTAGAGGGGGAAACAGCTGCTGTATTTATGTGCACCTATGGCAAAGGTGTCAGGGAGGTTTGATGCCTTAAAGCACAGCATTTTGCAGAGTGCATAGCCCTGGTGCTCTGGGATGTCGGGCTCACTGTCCCCATAGCCAGAGCATCAGTTCCTTTGGATAGATGCACCCTTGGGTTTTGCTTTCCTGCAGAAGATAGGAGAAACATGGGGAGGGAATGGTAGGACTTTCCAGGCTTTTGGCAGTAGGTGTTTCAATCAATCCCAGCCCTCCTACACATCCCTGAGAGGGTTGGGCATGTCTTTTTCTTCTCCTTCCCTCTTTTGATTTAAAAATGAGTACTTGGAAAGCCATGGAGTTGGTATCCATGCACAGCATTAGCAGAAAGAGGAAAGCTCTGGAGACAGCACAGCTTGGAGTGCAGCAAGGGAGCAGAGGGTACAGGCTTCTGCTCCAGCTCCAGGGCACCTCCAAAAGGTCTTGTCCCTCTTCCTTGTTCAGCCTCTGGGGCACATGCTTGTGTCTTCCCCTGTGTCAAATCTAGTGACTGTGACTGTGCAGGGAACCAGACTGGTTTGCTGAGACACACAAAAACTAGTTGCGTATACACATATATATTTAGATGTTTGTATGCATTTTAAGAGGTTCTGCATGCTTGGCAACAGTCACAGTTCAGTTAGATTGAACATACTGCAAAGTATGAAGGGGGTTGAAAAAAAAAGGATAAATATGTAAGCAATACTGAGAGTGCAGGGTCTGAAAATGCCCCAGGAATGGTGTGTTGGGGCTGGAACTGTGCATGTCCATGGGGTCTGTGTGTGGCTGATGGTGTGTGATGATGATGCCACTGTAGCAGCCTGTCTCTGCAGCTGAACCCAGATGCTACAGCCCCACATATTTAGCCCTGTGCTCAGTGTGATTACTTTGAATGCAATTTGCCTTGTCACTCACCAATTAATGAGGACAGAAAGCCAGAAAAGGCATGAGCTTTTCCCTCTTGCCCTGCTGCCTCCAGTGCATGAGCCCTTTAAAACTCTTTTTGGCACTGTGGTGGGGAGGGGGTTCTAGGGACAGCCCTAGCCCCTCAGTTGGATTCCTGGGGAGACGCTGTGCCGAGGGGCACTGCCTGTGCTCCATGAACCTTTGTGGGACTGCTAACAAAACCCATTGAGGTGGAGCGGTTAGTGGGGGTCTGGCAGTGGTCACACATGGGACAGACCCCAAATAAACACCCAGGCAGTGTGGGCTAAACCTGTGGGATCAAGGGTGAACACATGGATGCACCCACTCTTGCTTTTGCAGAAACAGGGAAAAATGAATGGCATCTCACAGTCATTGCAGTTATGCCTATCCTGGGATCGCACACAGGAGTGTGACTCTCCCCATCACCTCCTTTCTGAATGGGCTGTGGGAATTTAATCTTATCTCCTTTGCTGCACTGTTTCTTTGAAGCCTTTCCCTCCTCCCTGTTTTCACAGCCAGTAACTTTCTCTCTGCCTTCCCCAGACAGGTCACCTTATAAAAGCCTTCTTTTCCTTCCTGGCTTCGCATTATTACTCCCTCCCTGCTGATCCTATTCTTCTCTCCTCTGTGAAAGCTTCCTTCTCCCCTGCACTCTCTCACCTACTCTTTTTTCCCTCTTGAATCATTATTCATAATTTCTGTGCAGATGCACCCACACATTTTGGTGTTTGTTGGGAGAGGTACAGATAATACAGAAGCAGTAGCAGATGCCAAGAGCCTGGATCCAGGAGCAGCCTCCTTCCTCTTTCCCTCAATCACTGCCAGGTAATGTGCCCTTTTCCTTGGTAATTTGAGTCTTTGAGACACCAAGAATGTGGCCCCAGGTTAAAATATGGTCATTTCTATGGTAAAAAAGCCATCCACCTGCTACTTGAAGCATCTGACATGTTTTAATGAAGAGAATGGCTTAATCCAAAACTTGTGAGCGCAGCAATTCCAGTAAACTGGATTTGGAATCTGCAGCCAAAGCTGGGTTCTGATTTCAAGGCCCCCAGACGCTACCGAACACCAGGCTGCTGAGACTGACCCACGTCCAACTGCACGAGCATCTGCCTGTCCCTGCTCAGACTTATTCTTCCCGTGCCCAGCTGGAGCCAAGCTCCCTGAAATCTACTCATTTCGATCTCCAAAGAACTGGCATCAATAGGGCTTGGAAAGCCTCATCAGCAGAGCCGACCTTGCCCCCACCCTGTAATCTTCCCCCTAATGGTGCTAATGGGTATGAATTAAAACACCCGCCCAGGCAGATGCCGTCCTTGTGGTGTTCAATTGTGGCTTAGTGCCGGCAAAGGGCCCCGTTACAAGCCTTTCATTCACTCTAATTCATTGTCCCCCACTCATTCACTGACATTCATTGGAATCATTTTGATTGGAGGCAGGGAATGAATTGAGTACCAGATTCATAAAGCACACCATGTGTTCTGTCCTGATTTGTCATTAGTGGAGGGGGACACTCCAGATGAATAACCAGCCTCAGTTACATCTACTCTAATAGTCCAGGAGTCCATCACAATGTTATTTCAATGAACACTAAGAGAATTCGCACCCACTGCCTGGTGCTTGTTAGAGGATCTAGCAGGCTTTCTGCCTGGCTTTGGCAGGCGTTTGGGTGGGCTTCATGCCAGCGCAGCAGTAGGAGACTGTGCCATGTCTCTGCCAGTGTCCCCTGGCAGCCATTTGTGCTCTTTTGCTATGACTGGTCATCCTGCTGCAGGCCCTGGAGGTGGTGCAATGGCTCTACAGGGAAAAAAGCAACCAAAAGCAATCTGCAGCCATTTGGAAGTCCAGCAGCAGCACAGAGCACTGCCTCTTTGCATCCAGTTCCTGCAAGGAGGGTGGCTCAGGTCAAGGTCACGTATCATAGAATCCTAGAATGGTTTGGTTTGGAAAGGACCTTAAAGCTCATCCAGTTCCAAACCCCTGCCACAGGCAGGGACATCTTCCACTAAAACCAGGTCGCTCCAAACTCCACCCAGCCTTCTTCCTGCCAGCCACACTGGGAAATCTAAAAATCAACACTGAATTAAGCATTAGCTTTGGAAAGAGCTTTGAAGGAGCTCTGTACATCTCTCCTCCATCCATTAAGCAAACAAGGCACCAATTGTGACCAGGCATGAGTCAGTGGCTTTAATAGGAGAGCAGGGCAAAATCATGTGTGTGATGATCTAGCAGCACTGAAGTGACTTGGCTTGAGCTATGTTTGGGGAAGCCAGTACTAGAAGAGGAATTTCTCAAATTAACAATGAATCATATTGTCAGAGTGAGCTTTAGAGGATGTCAGCTCAACACCTGCTGTGTGGTGCCTAATTCCATGCTGTCTGGTCCCTTTGTGGAGAGACAGCAGTGTTTTCCTGTGCCAGAGCCCCAGCTGAGCAGGGAGAGACTCCTGTTCCTGCTCAGGGGCAATTGCTCAACCACAGCAAATTGATGTAAGTTAGTAAAGTCCCATGACTTCCAATGTCTGTGTTTCTACAGAGCCTTGTGCTTTTTCTCCTGCAAATGCTTACTGGACAGTTAGCCTGAGCACAAACTAATAGCACCAGCAAATGTGTGGGCTAGAAAAAGTGATGCATTATTCTTCCTGTCTCCTGAGCCTGAGAGGGAATTAGAAGTGGAATGAACCTTATTGCTGGGGGCTGAAAAGCTGCAGCCTCAGCAACAGCAGTACTCCCAGGAAAAGCTGATGGTTGCCCTGGCAGCCCACAGGAAAGTCAGGAGAGCAAAGTGACCTGTTGGGAGAGCGCTGGGGCAGCATAATTGATCCTTGGGCTCAGAAGGTCACTAGATGATCCAGTGATGGGATGCTGAAAAGCCCCAGCACAGCTGCAGTTTGTATTAATTAGCTTCATATGAAAGCAAATCCTAAAAGCATTAGCAAGAGTTGGGCTTGAGACAGTCCCAGCATACCTCCCACTGTCGCTGTACCTCAGGGAAAGCTATTCCCAGGAGGAGCTAGCCCCATACAATGTCCTGCCCTTGCCAGATGCAAGCACAGCAGCAGCAGGGCATTGTGGGAATACCCCAGCACTGCTCCAGGAGCCTGATCCTCCAGTTATTACCACTTTAGTTTGGTCTAGAACTCTTATGATCCTGATGCCACATATTTCTGCAAGTAACCCTTGGTCCTACCCATGACATCCCCAGTTCTCTGCTCATCCCAGAGCCCAAACACTTTCTCACTCTGTTCTAGGTTAAATGCAACTCCAGGAGTCTCCAGTTCTGAACCTTCACTGCAAAGAAACCCAACCTGTTCCACCCAGAGCTCCCCATAGCTTCACCCCAACAGCTTCATCCCCAGAAGCCTCACTTCACAGATTTTGGAGCTCAGCGGTGATTCAGCAGCCAAGCACAGCACCCACACAAGTCACATCAGTCATGCTCCTGGTACAGAGGTGATGCTTGTGTGAGACATAAATATTCCTGGGGTGGAGAAGCAGATCTTTTCAGTTTACTTAATTCCTAACAGCATCTGTCTTTTCCTGCTAATGAGGGACTAATACTGCAATTAAAGCCCTGCTAACTGGAAACTCAGAAGTGCTCTACTCACTGCTTTTGTCTTTTGCAGGTCTGCAGAGTCCTGGGGCTGTGGCAGGCACCCCGGAATGGTGATGCCAGCACCAGGGAATGGGCACCACCTCCAAACTGGTGAAGAGAAGGCTCAGGGGAGACCTTACAACAATATCTACCAGGGGCCACAAGAGATCTGGAGAGGGGTTTTGGAGAAGGGCCTGTAGTGACTGGACAAGGGGGAATGGCTTTAACCTGCCAGAGGGGAGACTGAGCTGAGCTCTTAGGCAGAAGCTCTTCCCTGTGAGGGTGCTGAGGTGCTGGCACAGGGTGCCCAGAGAAGCTGTGGCTGCCCCATCCCTGGCAGTCCTCAAGGCCAGGTTGGGCACAGGGGCTTGGAGCACCCTGCTCCAGTGGAAGGGGTCCCTGCCCGTGGTAGGGGTTGGAGCTGGAGGAGCTTTAGGGTCCCTTCAAACCAAACCAGTCTGGGATTCTGATTTCACAACCTTCCCGGACAGATACCATTGGTCCATGGGGAACAGCCAGGGCAGCCCTGCTGTATCACAGCACCCAGGTCACCAGCAGCCCCTGGTCTCCATCAGCTGCTTGCAGGACCCCTCTGTTAACAAGGCAAGTTTTGGGGATGGGGTTTTGTGTCCTGGGGATGCGGGTGAGGGGACTCCTATTCCCACCAAAGACACTGCAGAAGGTACTATCCATACTCTTCCATCCCTGTGAGGCTGGCAGGTGAAAACCAACCATTCCTTCCCTCAGAGGAGTGTGATGGGGCCCTCACATCCCTACCGCGGATTAGTTATTTTGGGAATTGTCTGGAGCTTGCAGCTGGTGCCGGGGTGGGTGACAGCTGAGCATGGCTTTCACTTGGGATCTGCGAGGCCCCTTCTCATGCATCTATTTCCAACCCTGTAAAACACAATCTGACAGGGTTTGGGGTGGGGTGGGCATCCAAAAAAGCTAGTTGCAAGGTACTGGCTTGGATTAGGCTGCTCAGGAGCTCTGTGCATCTTTCAGGTGCTTCTGAGCGTGGTTGGGAAGGTGTTGCCCTTCTATCCCTGCCTGTGCAGTACTGATGCAGCAAGGTCCAATTGTCATAGCTGTAGCCCCTGTTACGAGCCAGACTGGTGAGGTTTGGTGTCCTATATGTCCCTCATGTGCTTTCTCCAGGGTCTAATTGATGGAAAGGGTTTGCCTATCCACCTAAAGATAGCTTCATGTAACTTGAGATGAGCCCGAAATACCTTTTCTCTCAGCTTTCCGCTTCCGCAAGCTTTGCATGTGTGTTCTTCTGTCTCCTTACTTATGAATAAAACAGCAACAAGTGACAGTAAGCCCATTTCTTTCCAGATTATGACAAGATGGAAGCATCAAGGGTTTCTTCTACAAGCCAGTCCCTCACCAACCTCCAGGAAATACCTGGACTAAAGCCCTTTCTTTAGGATAAAGCTTCAAAACCCCCACAACAGCACATGGGAGAAGCATCCTTTTCACGCACAGGGAAAATTTAGAAGTGGAGCTGAAGGCTGCCATAGAGACAAGGTTCTATTTGCAATCTTCTTGCCTTTTATTTTCTCTCCTCCTCTCCCAAGTGGTTGAGAAGCAGCCAGGAGCACAGCACCATTCCCTCCCATGCTCCTGCTGGCCATGGCTGCTCTATAAAGTGCTTAAGAGGCTTTGCTGGGTCCTTCACCTCCTCTAGCCTTTTGGCACCTCCTTGTTATATCTGGGGATCATAAAACAAATCTGTGCTGCTTCTCTCTCAGCCTTGTTGGGTTCATGTGCAACATCAGCACTGCCACAGTGCATGGACCCACCGTTTGCTCTCCCTTGCTCTTGGTGCTGGCCAGGCAGCTGAGGACATGAGCAGCCAAAGGCTGAGCTAGGGCTGGTTCTCTTGAGACATACTCCTGAAGTCATAGGCCTGCTGCAGTGGGAAGATTTAGCTGCTTCCCCAAGAAACATGAGAGGAAATAAGTGACCCTGGCAGCAGCTGAAAACCCTCAATCTCAGTCCTTAGCAGTAAGGCTGCAAGTATCAGAGAAAGAATTTCTCTGAGGTAGGACCTGAAGATCTTCCAGTAAACTCAACTTCTCCATGTCAAGTCTATGCTTGGCTTCATAACATCTGAGCTCCACAAGTAAGATGTGCATTATTTATGTGCTGCCTTTCATTGTTTGATACCAGTTATGCTGTGGCTTGTCTAAATGCTGGGTATTTTTATACCCTGCATGATGTTCAGCCAAGGGGGAGCTGAGAAAAGGCAACTCCTGCATGCTGATCAGAAGCTAATCTCAGCCCTTGCTGTGAAAAGCATCTGCTGTGCTGCTGCTGTCTTCTCATCCTTCAACTCCCTCTCTTGCTTTCCAGCGTGTTACATGTCCCTGTCCCTGCTCTCCTCAATCAGGCTTCAGTGCAGCAGCCACAGAAGAAAAAAACCAAAAGGCAAATCCAATTTTTGCTTCCTATTTTCCTCCTCCTTTTTTCCTTTTCAAATTTGGCCCATTGTGAAAACCACCCCTTTAATGCCTGACTGCCAAATAGAGCAGTTCTCTCCAAAAAGAAACGTACATCAAAGTTGCAAGGAATATTCAACTAACCTTTAAAGGAGAACATCCGTAACTGGCTCACAGAGATGTCATTTAGTGTTTTAAAAGATAATAAACACAGGCACTTGCATTTCATGGGAGCATGTCTGTTAAGACAGTTCTGGCTGATGTCCTGCTCCAAGGCAATAAAATACCTAAATATTCCTTCCAACTTGCAATCTGAGATAGAATCTGAGACTTTATCTGAGGTTCTGAGGTTATCTTTGCTTAGGCAATAGGACTAGTGGCCAGATTCACCCCTTCTGCATCTAGGAAACCTCAATGAACATAGGATCATGTAATGGTTTAACTTGGAAGGGAGCTTAAAGCTCATCCAATTCCAACCCCTGCCACGGGCAGGGACCCCTTCCACTGGAGCAGGGTGCTCCAAGCCCCTGTGTCCAACCTGGCCTTGAACACTGAAAGGGATGGGGCAGCCACAGCTTCTCTGGGCACCCTGTGCCAGTGTCTTACCACAATTATAGTGAAGATCTGTCCCTAATATCTAAAATACCACTCGTGGCAAACAGCTGTGTGTCACTGCACAATGTCAGGAAGAGAGCCCTTTGGCAGGCTTTTACTCTTTCAGCAAGAGGGAGGTAAGTGCAGAGCCGCAGCTTGTCTGGCTCTCAGACCTGTGCGCTGCCAGTGTCCCATGGGAAGAGATGCTTCGTGCTCCAAAAATGAGAGGCTCAGGAGATGAGGCTTTTTAAACAATGAATAAAACTTGCTACCGTCTGCTGGAAGGAGCCAGCTTTCACAAAGGCCTTACACTGCTGAGACAAATGGAGATCTTCTTTTAGCTCAGGAGAAAAACATGTGTGTGAGGAGGAGGAAGGTCTGAACCAGAATGCTGCTCTTGAAAGGACCTGGTTGCATTTGCTCCTACAGCTCTGGAGAGATCGTAGCTCTGCTTGTGCAACAGGATGTCCCTTTCCCCAGATTCTGCTCTCCAAACCAGGTAGTGGCCCTGTGTGCACATTCAGGACTTCCTAGAAACAATTTATCAAGCTTTCCTGCTCATTTGGGAGCTTTTAAGTGAGCAAGCACGAAACCCCAATGGTAGCAAACAATCTGTGTGGGAAAGACTGTGACCAATGGGATATAGCCCTAGAGGGCAGGGGCAGGGGGGCAAGACTTGGTTGATATTCAAGGATCACCTGCTACAAGCTCAGGAGTGTGGCGTCCTAACTAGAAGTTAGTGCAGCAGGAGGGCCAGGAGACGTCCATGAATGGATAAGGAGCTGCAGAGGAAACTTAGAGGGAAAGAAGAGGCTTATAAAAGGTGGAAGCAAGGACAAGTGGCTTGGGAAGAATACAGGGATGTTGTCCAGGAAACTAGGGACCAGGTGAGGAAAGCTAATGCCCAGTTAGAATTAAACTTGGCTAGGGTTGTGAAAGATAACAGGAAGGGATTCTATAGGTACGTAGTGAATAATAGGACAACGTAGGCCCCCTCCGGAACCTATCAGGAGAACTGGCTACACAGGATTTGGAGAAGGCTGAGGTTCTTAATGACTTCTCTGCGTCAGTTTTTACTGGCAAATGCTGAGACCACACCACCCAAGTCTTGGAAGGCAGATGCAGGGACTGCAAGAATTAAGACCTTGGGCCCACTGCAGGAGAGGATCAGGTTTGAGACCATCTTAAGAATCTGAATGTGCACAATTCCATGGGACCTGATGAAATCCATCCACGAGTCCTGAAGGAGCTGGCAAATGAAGTTGCTAAACCACTGTCCATCATATTTGGAAACTCAAGCCAACTGTATCCTGGGCTGCATCAAAAGAACCGTGACCAGCAGGTCGAAGGAGGTGATCCTACCCCTCTGCTCTTGTGAGACCTCTCTTGGAGTATTGTGTGCAGTTCTGGTGTCAACATAAAAAGGACATGGAACTGTTGGAACAAGTCCAGAGAAGGGCCACGAGGATGATCAGGGGCTGGAGCACCTCCTGTATGAAGACAGGCTGAGAAAATTGGGGCTGTTCAGCCCGGAGAAGAGAAGGCTGCATGGAGACCTCATAGCAGCCTTCCAGTATCTGAAGGGGGGCTATAGGGATGCTGGGGAGGGACTCTTCATTAGGGACTGTAATGACAGGACAAGGGGTAATGGGTTAAAACTTAAACAGGGGAAGTTTAGATTGGATATAAGGAGGAAGCTCCTTACTGTGAGGGTGGTGAGGCACTGAAATGGGTTGCCCAAGGAAGCTGTGAATGCTCCATCCCTGGCAGTGTTCAAGGCTGGGCTGGACAGAGCCTTGGGTGATATGGTTTAGTGTGAGGTGTCCCTGCCCATGGCAGGGGGGTTGGAACTGGATGATCTTAAGGTCCTTTCCAACCCTATTCTATGATTCTGATTCTTTGTGCCAAATCTTTGTACATTTCCTGCTATTTTTAACTAATCTCTAATGGCAACA